GGAGCTTGAACTGAGCCCAGCCGAGGCATTTCTGCCCTCCGCACCCGCACGAGGGGAGCAGTCAAGCAATCCTCCGTGCCAGAGGCTTGGTATCCATCTGCTAGCATGGCCTTCTGCCTGCTCAAAAAGTTGTCAGACATCATTCCACGTGCCAAAAGAGCATGGATCTGAGGAGACAGCTTGGCTTCGTTGCCTGGGCCTTTCCTTCTGCCCAGATTCCCTCTCCTCTCGGACAGTGTTGAGGCATATTGGCTCCGTCTGGCCTGACCGCAAGCCAACATCTGTTGTCCTTAATGAGAGATGAGCATCTCTTTGGTTCCAGGAGAATGATATAACCAATATTCACAAGTTCTCCCATTGAGGAGGAGAAAAAAAGGTGTCTCAACATCCCGTCTAAACATTGCTCAAGCAATGCGAGATTTTTTCCCCCTTGTCGACCAAAGCGAAAAGACCAAGACTGGGCTTTTTTCTGTTTGCAAGAAAGCAAGAATTTGTTTTACTTGTAGAAATCTTGGATTTTGTGCCCAATACAAGGATTTTGGGCAAAACAAGTTATCCTGTGGAAAATAAATCCTGCACTAAAACCACGAACGCAACTCACTTTTTTTGCCCAAAATAAGTCTCCAAATAAGAAATAATACTCAGAAATCCTTGTTCCCTAAACGTGTCAGTCCGAGATGGGGAAATATGACTCCTTCTCCATGAGGACAATAACCGTGACATGTCCTTGTTTCCCTGAGGAGCCAGGCGTTGCCACACAATCCATAAGCTTCCCATGCGCGGCACCTGTAATTTCTGCCTTAGCCTTTTTCTTCCCCAGAGTTCAGCCACAATTGCAGGGCGAGTTCTATGCTTGAAGAAAAACTCTAGGAAACACCCTCACTTCCCAATCCTAACAACAGTGCTCCGTTAACGGAAGATCCCTTCTCCACATCTGGTCTATTTGAGCTGGTTTTACCACTCTGAGGATAGGAGCCTCTGTAACTCATCCTCCAGAAGCCATGAATCCAGGTCTCTGGAAACCTCACTGTTCATTCCACTCTCTCCACAAGAGAGGCGTCTGTTCACATATTTATTGTCGCTTTTGAGACACATCCACTGGGCCGGATGCTGAGGGTTACTAAATAATCCAGAGGTTTTAAAGCAGGAAATGCGGGTTGAAAGTAAACACAGATATATAGAGCTAAAATGTCCACCTCCAGGACGTTTGAGCTGGACCTTCAACTCCCTTTGGGTCAAGCATGAGGTCTGCAGCTCTGGAGGGAGGGAATCAGGTTAAAATGAGAGCCATCCAGAAGACGTGAAGGAACAGCTTGAGCGGGCTGGGAAAAGACAGCTTTTATTTGGCTTTTCCACAACGCTTGGCACAAATTTTATTCATGTATTCATTTATTTATATATACAAAAATGCAGATTCCACTCTTCACCTCCAAGACGGAATTGCTCAAAGCAGCTAATGAAGAAGGAAAAAAAGGCATCAAAACAAGAGGATTACCAGATAAAAAGACGACGACGAAGAAGAAAAAACCCACAACGGAAAACAAGTAACTGCCACAAAGAGCTAGCAAGAGTAACAAGAGAATCAAAAGCTTGTTAAAGAAATTATCAATTGCTGGAAGAAAAGACAGACAAGATGGAGAAAACATAGCTTCTTTTGGGTAGTTCTCTATGGCTCTGTAGTTCATGTGGATCCATTGTCAACAACTGTATCACACAAGAAAATGAAAAGTGCCATGGATCATGGCACCCGGTCTTGATGAGAGGGGGTGGCACAAGGCAGAAAGTGAGAAAATTAGGGGTATTACAGAGTGACAGGAAGGGCATCACAGAAAGAGAACAAGATGGACTCAGGGTGATAAAGCAACAGAGAATCCACTGTACACCCTTGCAGTGTTGCCACCCTAACTATTTTGGCTGAAGCTCCACCTAATTTTTCTTCGAGCTACACTCAGTAGCTGTTCCAGATCCACCCACTTCGAAAGTATTGGTCCTTGCCAGATATAAGTTTCTTTATTTCTCATCTCTTGGAGTTTTATTACAACCTCACATGCTCCCTATGGTTTGAATGACTGAGCAGGACGTCTCTGGGCTGGGCTGACTGTCAATCTATCCAGCACTAACCAATCCTTCCTTCTCATCTCTGAATTCACAGAGAGCCCCGCCTCTCTCCTTCTCATCTCCGAATTCACAGAGAGCCCGCCTCTCTGCTGAGTGTTCCTTTCCCTCTCTTTAGTCGTTTCCTCTCTAAGAGCATCGTGGTGCAGTGGTTAAACTGCTGTACTGCAATCCCAGATAGTTGCTCAAGGTTGACTCAGCCTTCTATCCTTCCGAGATCGGCAAAATGAGTACCGAGCTCGCTGGAGTGGGGGCAATGTGTAGCCTGCAAAATTAACTCGTAAAACCGCCCAGAGAGTGCTTGAAGCGCTATGGGGGGGCAGTATAGTATAATCAGCACGCTTTATTTTTGATTTGTTCAAAGCAGTGTTTGTTAATTTGCTGTCAATACGATTCTCTTTACGTAAGTGTAAGTAACCAAATGTTTTTTATTCTTTCTTCTAGCCATGTCCCAGAGTGAGTTATTGAGAGTTTAAGCACCAGTCAATGAGAAAGGGGTGGACTACCTGGGAAATGTGTAGCTATTCTCCTCTGCGAGTCTCGGTACTTCTACTGCATAGCAAAGGAATTTTTACAGAAATTCAAATTTCTGCAACATCATTTTTACACACTGTGTCTCTCTTCAATTTTTCTTTTGTTTCTCCTAGCCACTCCCCATGGCTTGGAGAGGGGCAAATCGCCAACTTTCAGTTTGATATCATACATAAGAATGGTAATTACCGACCAGGAGACTCCAGGGTTCAAACAGATGTTCTGCTCCTTTGATATGTTTACAGGAGCCAAATTGGCCCCACCCTCCGCAGAGCTTCAAAGAACAGGCACGCCTGATGCATCCTTGCTACGTCAACACTTCAATGCTAGCGGTGATCAAGTGAAAATACTGGGTGTGTTGCGAGCATCAAAGAGACTCCATAGAAGCAACGTCTGCATTTTTCTGGGCTTCATGACTGCAGACCTCTTCCAGTTGGCACTCTTTTCTTCTCTCTGCTCTGTAGGGACTTGGCTTAAATTATTCACTGCTTAATCCTTAAGGCACTCTTCGTTGCATAGATGCACAACTGTCTAGTCCAAGAAATTTTTAATAAAGAGAAGTGCTCTTTGGTTGTTGTGAGTTCTTTCTTTTAAAAGGGGGTGGGGCGGGGTGGCGGAAGCAGGAGAAATATTTCTTGCTTATTATTAGACATGGGCACAAAGGTGAAAAATGGTGGTTTGTGATGGTTTGCGGTCTGCCACGAACCACCACAAACCAACTGGAAGACGGCACCGGTTTGCAGTGTGGTTTTTGATTCATGCCTAGTGGCTTCCTTCTGCTGTCCCACCACTCCTGCCTCTCTCCCCCCCCCACCCCGATGCCATCTTCCGAAACAGTGGCCTGGCTTTCCTGGAAGGGAAGATGGGCTGTCAATGTCTTTGAAAATGGCAGTGGTGAATGATGAGGATGAGGGGGTGGCAGGACCAGGTAGGGGAGCAATGGGCAGCAGGAAAAAAAAGTTTAGCACTTGATCTCGTTTCAACAAAACGGGTTACAGGAACTGAACCATGAACCAAAGCACAAGCTAGCCCTGTTTATGTTTTTTTTTTCTGGTTCGTAGGTCGGGTCATGCCCACCTCTACTCATTATTGGAAAAGGTTCACCTTGATATTTGGTCCAGGCGTGTCCAACTCTAGGGCGCGATGCTCATCCCCGTCTCCAAGCCGTAGAGCCAGTGTTTTGTCCGTAGACAGTTTCCATGGCCACGTGGCCAGCGCGACTAGACACAGAACGCCCTGACCTTCCCACCGAGGTGGTACCTATTTATCTACTTGGATTTGTACATACTTTCAAACTGCTAGGTTGGTAAGAGCAGGGACAAGCGATGGGAGCTCCCTCCATCACATGGATTCGATCTTATGACTGCTGGTCTTCCGACCTTGCAGCACAGAGGCTTCTGCGGTTTAACCCGCAGCGCCACCACATCATTATTGAGAGACATGCAATTTCTCAGCTCTAAGAAAGCAGGGATGTCTTGAAATGTCATGCTTATTGCTTTGCACTATTCCGACTAGCTCATCCCTCCATGAATCTGGAATATCAACACCCCTCATAGAGTGAGATCGTGGGAGTGAACTGGACCAACAAAAATTGCTTTATGCTACTTTGATGACCGAGCCCTGTTATCTCTCCCAGCCGAACCTTTCCTGCAGTGTATCCAAATAAGCACGGGGAGATTCCCTCCAGTTCTTTAGAACTGCAATTGCTAAGCACACCTTGCACTTACAGACCTGCTGGGATGGATGGATGCAGCGCCACGACAATGGCAGTTAATTGCTACATTGACTCTTGAGTGGCATGTTGATACTGGGAACTCAGTGTGCAAAATTAATTCTCTTTCCTTCCCTGCATGCAGAAAATTCCACGCGGTGACCAAATCAGGCATTTTTTTTTTAAAAAAAAGTGTTGAGTCTTACCGCTTGATTCTCAGTTCCATCTAAGGTAGCTATTGTTGTGCTTTAGCCAACAACCACGGAAGTTTGTTAAAGACAAAGCACATTTACTTAATTTATTTATTTAGACATTTTTACCCCATCTTTCTCCTTAAAGATGACCCAAGGTGGCACATCATTAAAAGACAATAAATTGGCCAGCAAGGAATGCTTAATGCTGCCATCGTGGGCTGCTTCTAAGGATGTAACAAATACTTGTAAATCTTCTAGTCCTCAGTGAGAAATTGTAATTCAATGTACCAGGACATCTTACTGAAAGCATGCAAGATTTTTCTTGAGAGCAAAAGAGGCCTGAATCTTTTTCCCCCGCCAACCCATCACAAAACATCTGTGCATTTTTATATACATAAAGCTTGAACTTTATTTTAAAAACTTTGCATTCTGAGCAGCCACAATGTTCGCTATTTCAGCCAGTGTGGTTCATTAGACAGCATGCACAAAACGCTGTTTGTAAATGCCACAAAATTCTCGCAACCTTGCCCAACAGGAGAAAACGTTTGAAAGAATAAGCAAAGTGATGGATCCCTTGATCGTTCTCGGTGGCGTCTTCTTCCTCTTATGAAGGCTGAACCATGCACAAGCTGAGAAATGTCAACCAAATGCCCCAAAACTCTGTTAGGGAGTCAAAAGAATTTGGATGGGAAATTGTGAGTCCAGAATGCACAGGATAACCAGGAGTAAAGAAGGATCCTGCTGTTGACCCATGTCCCAGTCCAAGCTGGATTTTGGTAACCCCTTCCGAATGAGAAAAGGTAAATACAGTGGTGCCTCACATAACGAGCCCACCGTTGAACGATGAATCCGCATTGCGATGCGGATTTCCCCATCGCTAATGCGAGGGCATGCTCGCATTATGATGGGGGAACAGCTGTTCGGCAGTTCCAAAATGGCTGCCGGACACCCAAAATGGCCACTGGGACACCCAAAATGGCCGCCGGGACACCCAAAATGGCCACCGGAACACCAAAAATGGCCTCCAGGACACCCAAAATGGCTGTTGGAACATGGGAAAACATCGGAGAATGGTGAGTTTTGGGCTCATTTGGAATGTTTAATGAGTTCCAATAGGTTTCCCCGTTCCACTTAATGATGTTTTCCCATAGCGAAGGTTAATCCGGAACGGATTAACCTCACTATGCAGGGCACCACTGTACTGCACCTAGCCCGATCCCAGCCATGTTGAGATCTTGATAATATTTCACGGTGGCAGGAAGATCCCAGAGGAGGCCATCTTGCATGTAGGAAGGTCATTTGTGAGGAATGTAGACCTATTTGAAGAGACTTCAACATAGCTAACATGTAGTAACTAAACAGCTTGGGGCCAAGCTATCGCAACGGCTATACATCCCTTTATAAGCCTGCCTGAGTGTAAGATCATCAAGAGAGGCCTTTCTCTTGGCCCCACCACCTTTAAAGATGTGTTTGATGGGGATCTGGGAAAGGGCCTTCTCTGTGGCTGCTCCCAGACTCTGGAACTCCCTCCCATCTTTGCTGTCCTTTTGCAAGCAGGGGAAGACCTTTCTCTTCACATAAGCTTTCCCCCTAAGGACTGCCTGTCTAAGAGAGGTTTCAAAACAGGATGGTTTGTATTTCTCCTGCTTTTAAATCTGTTTGAGTAATGCTTTTACCTAACATTTTTAAAAATACAGTGGTGCCTCGCATAGCAACGATAATCGATGCAGCAAAAATCGCTGCAAAGCGATTTCGTCGCTATGCGATATTAAAAAGCCCATAGGAATGCATTGAAATCCCTGTGGGCTTCAGACTCACCTTTAAGTGAAAATCCTCCATATGGCGGCCATTTTCGCTGCCCGATAAGTGAGGAATCCATCCCAGAAAACAGCGGGCAGCCATTTTTTTTAACCCAGCGGCCATTTTGGAACTGCAAATCAGCTGCTTTGCAATGATCGGTAAGCGAAGCAGGGTACCGATCATAGCAAAGCGATTTTTCCACATTTAAAGCATTGCAAAGCGATCGCAAAAAGTTAATCACTATGCGATTTCATCATTAAATGGGGTGCCTGTTAAGCGAGGCACCACTGTGTAATGTTTATTCAGTTCTTTTTAACCATCCTTAACTATTTTTAGCTTTTCATATTGTGTTCTTATTTATGCAAGCTGCCTCGGGTCCTTTTTTTTAGGAGAAAGGCAGGGTAAAATATTTTAAATAAATAAGTAAAGATAAACAAGAGGACTACTCTGTGTGGGTGGGGTCGGAGGTGCAAAGGTGGGCTTAAGCCTCTTGTCCCCTTTTGCTTTATTTCTAATTGGCCACTTGCCATCCAAACTGCTCTACTTCCACTTCTTCTAGGAAACCAGCAAAGCTGTTTTATCCCCTTTGTTAGAGAGAAGTTGCCAAATCCATAGGCTCCATAGGGTTGGGACTTGGTAGCAAAGACTTGGACTTGGTAGCAAAGACTTGGACTTGGATTTGGTAGCAAAGACTTGGACTCAGACTTGGGACTTGGTAGCAAAGACTTGGACGCAGACTTGGGACTTGGTAACAAGACTTGGACTCAGACTTGGAACTTGGTAGCAAAGACTTGGGACTTGGTACCAAAGACTTGGA